TTCTGTGCTGATAATATAAATCAGATTGTATGAATATTAATCCCTTACCAGTGAAAATATTTCTCCTGTTCTGTGATTTATCTTTTCATTGTTGTTGGTATTCTTTTATGCAAAAGCATTTTAAATTACTTATTTTCTATTTCTTCTTATGTTGCTTATGTTTTGATATCATGTTAGAGTTTTATGAAGACTTCTTTATATACTTCTCTCATCACCAAGTCTTTACTTTGTTTTTGTTTTCGTGGTGTTTGGTATAGAACCCAGGACCTCACACATGCTAGGCAAACACACTACCACTGAGCCATACCACCAACCCAACCACCATGTCTTGAATAAAAAAATCAAAACCTCTTTTGTATCTTTCATTAAAGACAAAAACACAATGGTTTTTTCTTCTTATGCCTTTCATTCCAAAATAACTTCCAGTATTTTTTAAAATTTTGTAACTTAACTTTCTACAATTTAGACTACAATTTATGTTAAACTTGCTTCAAAGTTCACTACTGGCCACTTGTAGCACTATTTTATTTCTTTTTCTAAAAAATTTTTTTACTTTTCTTAAATTATTTTGATTCATCTCTTTAGTTGGGTGAAGCTTTAAGCAAATTTTTCGAGAAGATCCAGGAGTAGACTATATTATCTAGCTTTTGCATATTGGTGAAAATGTGTTTTTGTTTTGTTTTGTATTACTGGGGTTTGAACTCAGGGCTTCACACTTCCTAGGCAGGCACTTCACCACTTGATCCATGCCTGCAGCCCTATTTGCTCTGATTATTTCAGAAAGAATCCTAGGCTGGCCTGGACTGCAAACTCCCTAGTTAGGTTCACGTCACAGGTGATATGACAGGCTCACACAACCCCACCCACCTTTTATTCCATTGAAATTGGGTCTTTTTGGTTTTGCCCAGGCTGGCTTGGAATCACGATCCTCCAGATCTCAGCCTCCCACATAGCTTGGGATGACATCTCCTGAGCTTTTTGCCCAGGCTGGCCACAAATTGCAGTCTTTCCGATCTCAACCTCCCAAGTAGCTAGACTTACTAGTCTTCCATTTTGCTCCCATTTGACAAAACTTACATTCTTACAAAGATCATTTTTCTTGAATAAATATTCCCTGGGTTGCTAAAAAAAACTCTGGTTTTTAGATTTTTTGCAAAATTTCCAGATTTTTGCAAAAGTTTTGACAGAGTTTTTGGTTGCTTTTATAGAGGCAAATTTCTGGAGATCTTTACTCCATTATTTTTGCTGCTATAACTCTGTGCCCCCTTTAAAAAATGCAGCCAATTCTCTCTATGGCTTTTTGCTCTGATTGGTCATGACTATTAATATAAATATGTGAATATCTATAATTAATGTGGGTTTGAAGTATAAAATGCATTACAAAAAAGACATGGTTTCCACCTTCAAAGAGATCATTATTCAATATAAATGAATTCTTGCATACTTAAGAATGTCAATGGGCCTAGTAAGTAAATTTCTAATCTATCTCTTTCTTTGGGTGTGGTTTTCTTTGCCCTGACTGCTTTTTCTTCTTCTTCTTCTTCTCACTTAATCGTATTTCAGTTGAGGAGACATCTATTTGGCAAAAATATTTGCTAATAATGGTCCAGGACTTGCTCTTGGCCCCAAATTCTAACTCAATCTTTCTCATATACAATTGTACAACACACTGATGGACAATACCTACCAGAACAGTTTCTAGTATTTCTTCACATATATTCTAGCCTAAGAATATTATTTTCTATTATGAATTTCCTCATTCATAGAGTAGATAAAACAATAAAAACTACAATCTCAACTGGCTATCGCTTAATTAGTATTTTATTTACAGGGGTAATATTTCCCACAATATATCACCACTGAGTCATTTTCTCCTCCCATTACTCACCGTTAAGTCTTTCTCCAAATTAATGTCTTCAACTAGATGGAAATTTTAGAGATGTAAGTGGATAACAAGACACTGGAGGTGCTCAAAAATTATTGGGACACTTGACCAGGTTTATATTTTATATAGATAATCTGCTTTCAAAATTAAGAATGAGAGGGATAAAAGATTTTCCTACTGGTAATCTATTAAGTGAGCTTGTTTCACTTTTGATAAGTGTGGTTTTTTTTGTTGTTTTGTTTTTTTTATTTTGAGGTATGTTCCTTGTATGCCTGTTTTGCTCAATATTTTTACCATGGATGGATACCGAATTTTATCAAATGCCTTTTCTATATCAGTTGAGATGACCATATGGCTTTTTCCCTTCATTTTGTTGATATGGTATATACTGTATATCAATCTGCATATATTAAACCATCCTTGCATCCTCATTATGAATTCCACTTGATATCATGGTGAATTGTAGTGAGCTTTCTCGAGCTCTGTTCCTTCTCACATAACTGCGGGTGACTGGAGATGCATAAAGGACAAACAATAGAAGACAGACATGCATAAAGTTGGGGTCAGGTGTGTTGGGTGCTCGGATGGAGACGCACAACAGCCTTGTTTCTTTATTACTCTATTAGCTCCTCTTTCACTTTGCTTCTTTTCTTCTCTATTCTTTAAGGTCTTACTTCTGAAGTCTTTCTTTAAAACCTTGCTTCTTTTCTATTCTTTAAAGTCTCTTCAGGGAGTGAAAATTTCTTGAATTCTGACTATAGACTAAACCCTCACATTTTAAAAAATTTTATTATTTTTTAAGAAATTTTTTATTAGGATATATTCATTATATGGGGGGATTCATAGTGACAATTCCAATTAGACTTATATTGTACATTAGTTACATCACCCCCATTATCTCTCCACCTCAACACCCTCCCTGCCCCATTAAAGCAATTGTAAGAGGTTTCTTTGGTCTATTTCATATAGCTATTTGAAGTCCATCAACCATTTACCCTCACCTTAATCTCTTTCATTCACCCTCCCCCCTATGCCCACTGTGGGAAGTTAACTTTGGTCTGTTCAACCCCTTCCATCATTCCTTTACCTCCCACCCCCATCCCCCATTTTTCAACAGCTTTCAGTGCACATCCTTATATCCTCTACCTTTACAGATCTTACGTTTTATGTTATTACTGATGCTTTATCATTCTCTTTCCTTTTCTTCTTTCCCTGAGTTCCACAGAGCAGTTCCACTATTACAAACATGTTCTACATCTGAGTTCGTATATGATGTTTGTTTTTGTGTATATGTTTATCTTTTGGATCTATCGTCCACACATGAGAGAAAACAGGCAGCCTTTGTCTTTCTGAGCCTGGCTTACTTCACTTACTTCACTTAACATGATGTCCTCCAATTGCATCCATTCACTTTAAAACCACATGTCATTATTCCTTATGGTTGAGTAAAACTCCATTGTGTATATATGCCACATTTTCTTGATCCAGTCATCAGTTGTAGGGCACCTGGGTATTTCCAAAGCTTGGCTGTTGTGAATAGTTCTGGGTGAACATTGGCATACAGGTGCCTCCACTATATATCCTGACTTACATCCCTTTGGGTAGATGCCCAGGAGTGGTATCACTGGATCATATGGCAGTTCTATCTATCTTTAGCTTTTTGAGGAATCTCCATACTGCTTTCCACAGTGGTTGTACTAATTTGCAGTCCCAACCACATCTTGCCAGCATTTGTTGTTGTTATTGCCTTTGAATATGGCCATTCTAACTGGGATGAAATGAAATCTAAGTGTTGTTTTGATCTGTATCTCTTTTATAACCAGAGAAATTGAACACTTCATAATGTATCTACTGGCCATTTGTACCTCTTCCTTTGAGAATTCCCCCGTTTAATTCATGTTCCCATTTCTTCATTGTTAACCCTCACATTTGATAAGCACTTTTGTGGTTCATTCTTTCAGCTCCATCACAGTAGAAAATTAGAGGTTCAATCAGTTGGTCTATTTTCATTTAAAATTAACAACAACAACAAAAAAATTGCCTACTACCAGGGACATCTTCTTTTGTTTGTTTGTTTGCAATTTCTATATGTACAAAGATACTTATGGACAAATCATGCAAAAAAACCCACAAAAACCAATTTATCTTAAGTAACCAAGTCATCTCCTGCAGACCACTCAAAATGTTATTACATCAATCAAAATCTGATACCACATGAACTCAAAACCCTTACCTTAAAAAAACCCACAAGAAGCATTTACTGAGCTCCTCCAGGAGGTACTATTCATTTCCTAAGTCTGCAGCTCCTCTCTGGTGAATAGGGATGTTGGAGGACATTTTATATAAATTCTAGGGAAGTAACAGTGCTTAAATAGCACTACATGCACTATGAACTCAAAATTTCCAACATCATATAGTGTTATGTTCCTTTCAATACTGTTATGTCTTTGCAAACCTAGATCTGAGGCAGTTGCTGTAATAAAAAACAGGAAATAAGAGTGGCTGTGTTTAATTTCATCTGAAAGGATAAGAAGGGGTACACTGTCCAACAACTGCACATATCATTAGTTAGTAACTGTGATAATTTTGAACAAAATAAAAATTTTATTCTAAACCAAAGCCGAAAAGAAATAACAGTTGGGTTTACTAACTTGTTAGATCAAAACAGAATCTGCATATAAATACCTTCATAGCTAGTGGAAAAAAATACTTGCAGTTATATGAATTACACATAACTGAGTACTAACATAGTCTGAGAAAAAAAAAATCATAGAAACATGAAGGGCAATGTGAGCCAAGAAAGCATACAAACCTTTTTACTAGATGAAGTCCATAACCCAAACAAATAATTATCCATGTAATTTTCATAAAATATTTACTAAAATGCTTAAAGGTATATATCTGATCAAATAACACACTTCTCTGAATCAGAGAGCAAGGCATGAAAAGCAAATATATCTGATCAAATAACTCACTTATCTGAATCAGGTATCAAGGCATGAAAAGTTCCACCTTTCACTGAAAGATTAAATAACCCTAAAAATCCACTTGTTAATTAACCAGCTAACACACAAAATTTCAAAAAATAAAATTTTGAATAATTTCTGTATAATACCTGAATGTGAGCTCTCAATGGTGGTGTCAGATTTGGAATCTGGCAATGAAGCAATTGTTGCTAATTGTGGAACATAGTACATCTTCTTACTTCCAGGTGGCTTATATGGCAATAGTACAGGCTGGGCTAAGGAGGTAAAGATCAGAACAATTAATAAGAAAACAGCTCTTAATTCACTGAATACATTTTGAGTACCTTCCACTCAAATACTGTGCCAGACAGTATTCACATTTCTTGGGATATTATGGCTCAAGAGGAGTCAGAATTCTAGAGTTGGGAGTTATATAGTACACAATTAACATAAATGAGCAAATTATCTGGTATTTTAACAAATTGTAAGTGATACAAAAAAATTAGGTAATACGGGTGATACTAAGAAAGGAGGCAGTTTAAACAGTATGGTAGGAATAGGTTTCATTGAGAAGATGAGGTTTTAGCCATCTACTCCATACATGGATGGCTCCAATTAAAAAAGATTATCTTATATTAAACCCAAACCCCTACAGCTAGTCTTATTCTATTCCTAGTCATAGAAAATACATCTAATTCTCTTCTTGTGTGACAGAGCTTTCGAAGTTAACATTATAAAAATATACATTTGCAATATTAAGAAAATACATAAAAGTAAAAATAACAGTCATACCAGTCAACAACTAGTTTAATGTATATTCTACTCATCTTTTCCCTATCTGTTTCTATAATATAGTCAGTATAATTTAGACATAGCTGTCATCATATAATTTAGAATTCAGCTTTTCTATTTTGTATTAATAATGAAAATATTCATCTTATTCTATCATCACATTTCTTATAGAAATGATTAAATGAATTCAACTTTGCCCCTAACATTGAAATTTTAGGTTGAGCTAAATTTTCAACTATAAAGAATTCTGTGAATAAAGACATTCCCGTTTATAGAACTTTTCTCCTGCTGCTCATCTCAGGTAAATTCTTTTTTTTTTTTTTTTTGGAGGCAGGGGAGAACTGGGGTTAAACTCAGTGCTTCATGCTTGCAAAGCAGGCACTCTATCGCTTGAGCGACACTTCCAGCCCTTAATCTCAGGCAAATTCTGACTACAGAGTAGAAAGTCACACCACTTATGAAGTGAAAAAAAAATGTCTGTACCAAGTTACCCTTCCTCCAACAGGGAATAGTCATTAAGCAATAATTCTTAGAGCACCTGCCTTGCAAACACAAAGTCCTGAGTTCAAACCCTAGTACCACACGCAAAAAAATTATTCTTTGTTAGTAAGAATAATTCATTGTTCAAATGTTCCCTTATTTGATTAGTGTATAGGCTGAAGTTTTTTTTTTATATACAGTCGTCCCTTGTTATCAGGAAAACTGATTCTAGGAACCCTATGGATACCAAAATCTATTGATGTTCAATTCTCTTATATAAAATGACACAGTATTTGTATATTCTCTCATTTTTTTCCCCTTTTTATCTTTTTTGCAGCACTGGGAATTGAATCCAGGGCTTCAGGCATGTTTAGCAAGTGATCTGCCAGTGAACCACACCTCTTGCCCTCTCATACACTTTAAATCATCTACAGATTACTTGTATTTGTTATATTGTATTGGCTAGAGAAGGATAACAAAAAAGTCTGTAGATGTTCAGTACAGACGCAATTATTTTCTTCTGAGTATTTTCTGTGATTGTCTGAATCCACAGACACAGAACACATAGATATTTAGGACTCAAAGTAATTGTTTTTCCTTTCACGATGTAATAGAAAATGTCAAATAGCCCCTTGTTGTCTATTCTTCCTTCTTCCTTTCATGTGTACACTATAATTTCCAATCTCCCTTACAATCATGTATGGACATGTGTCCAAATTTTGGCCGATAGGATGAGTGCAAGAAAGTGTGTGAATTCCAGGCATTCTATTAAAGGGATCCTATTAAAATCCTCTCTGCTCCTAGGTATTGCAAATCATGATAGCTTTCATCCAGAGATATCACAAAGAATGCCAGAAGGGCAGGGGGTAGCTCAGTAGTAGCATTTTTTTGTTTTGTTTTTAAATATACATGAAGACTTGGATTCAACCCCCAGCACAAAAAGGGGGAAAATAAAGATGCCAGAGCCACCAGACGTGGATTACAGCTATCTGCTCTAGACCACCACCTTCCTGCAGTTTGGAGTTCCTATGATAAAACAGCTGATGTTATACCCTAACTCATACATAAGTACATATTCAATCAATTGATTTTAAATTAACTGAAGCCACCAGTTATTACCTCTGTGATCTGGAATGAAATATTTTTTGCCTTAGTTTCCTCACCTATAAAATGGGCTTGATTAAAATAAATGGGTATCATGAGCATTTGTATAAATTAAAAACTATAATCTATATATAATAGTAATATTGATATATTTTAGAGGTAAAATACATGTTGATAGGTATTTTAGAGGTAAAACACTGAATTTTTCCAATCCCCTTCCCTCCAAGTAAGTTAGAAATTTATCTTAATAATACATTATGTAATTCCTATTTTTCTCCACTCTGAGAAACAAGGGAAAAAGTTACTTTTTTCCCTTAATTTTCTTTGTTATTCCTCCTAAAAAGCTTTAAGATCACTTAAAGAAGTTCAAAAGAACAATTCCACTAGTTTTGAGCAGAATTATGATACAGTAATATTTATTAGGGGAATAAATAACACCTCTACAATATTCAGCTTTTCCATCTGAAAACACACCTTTGTCTTAATTTAGTCAACTGCTCTTCTTACCTGAAGGTTAGTATTTATCAGGCTGGAATATTGGCTAAAGTGGTAGAGCACCTGCCTAGTGAGCATAAGGCCCTGAGTACAAACCCCAGTACCACCACCAAAAAAAGGAATTTTCATATAAAATTTTTACTTAAGCTATTTTTGATAATTTTATGGAGCTGTATTGCTTATATGAGGCTAAGCACCTCAAGTTCCTTTATAATTTATTCATGAACACTTTTTTTCTTATATCTGGCTACCACTTCTAGATGGACTTCTAGCTACCTATATCTAGCTTATAAAAACCAAAATGCTCTTGGCAGATTCTGAAAAAGAATGAGATCTTCTTCATTCTAAACACAATAACAACCTTTATATCACTTGAATTACCACCCTCGACGGTTCTGATGACTTATTTTGGCAAGTGACTACACATTGTTATTATACTGCTTCCAATGAAAGAAACAATTCAATGAAAGTAATGAAATAAAATACTGATGCTGAAAAGGATTCACTGTTCTAATCACCACAATTATGCTAACCCTAGAAAATGAAAGCAAGCAATTTACTGATACATGTTATGTCACAAGCTGAAAGGCAACACTTTCTGTGGATAGAATACTATCTTATAGAATATGGGAATATAGGCTGCACTTGCCTATCCCAAGTACCAGAAAGAGTAAGTGCCTATAATAACAAAGGTAGAAGCCCTTTTAGAATCTTTTGCTTTCAATCTTTGTGACTCTGAGATTTCTTAGATGGAAGATCTTAGAAATAAGAGAAGGACACATCTATCAGGGACAGGAGCCATCTAGCCATTTTACATTTTTTTCTTTCATTAAAGTAATATATAAAGTAGAATTTATAGCGTTGACTAAATCTTTCACTGACCTGATATCAAGAAAAACTAAAATGACCTTTAAAAAAGATACTAAGAATATGACTAATACTTAGGGACTACTTTACTATGTCTTATGATAAAAATTAATCAAAATGACCGTAACCCTACATATGCAGGGCTAGTGAAGTCTCAGATGAGCTAGGACTACTGTACCACTCTATCAGGCAAAACAACAAAACAGGGAGGAAAAAAAGACTATCATCTTCACTTCCATTTGGGTATTGCTGTAGACATTACTTTTAGAATACTGACTTATTGATTTTCTTTCTCCACCACCATATGTAAAGCTTGACAGCAATAGTTAAACTTACCATTTACTTCAAAAGAAACATGAAAATTAGGTAGATCACAATGGAATGACTACCACATGGAGATGGAGAATTCTGAGACAAGTAAATAATTTTAAGAAGTTCTCAACAACTTCATGTTTGGATGCAATAGTCTTAAGGTTATTTTAGATTATTTGCCTCTGGAGGGGGGATGTAAATACATAGCAAATGTTTATTTCTGGGAAACAAAGAAAAAAAGGATTGGAAAAGAAAGTTTAATTATAAAATGTTCTTCTTATAAACTGAAAATAAAAACAAATATAAACATATAGTATGTACTTTTAAATTCACAGTGGGTACATTAGGCATGCATCTTATATACAATTCTTGACTTTATAGTATACTTTCAAAATGTACTTCTAGTGCTGTGGGCATGGCTCAAATGATAGAGTGCCTGCCTAGCACGCATAAAACCCCTCGAAAACAATATGGAGGCTTCTGCCATATGATCCTAGGGATATACCCAAAGAAATGCGACTCAGATCACTCCAGAAGCACCTGCACACCCATGTTTATTGTAACACTATTCACAATAGCCAAGTTATGGAAACAGCTAAGATGCCCCACTTCTGACGAATGGATTAAGAAAATGTGATATTTATACACAACGGAATTTTACTCAGCCATGAAGAATGAAATCTTATCATTTACAAGTAAATGGATGGAACTGGAGAACATCATCTTGAGCGAGGTTAGCCAGGCTCAGAAAACCAAAAATCATATGTTGTCCCTTATATGCAGACTTCAGATGTAGGGCAAAGGCAGTAATGTTGTTGGACTTGGGTCACACACTAAGGGGAGAGTACATACAGGAGGAATGGGGACAGGTAGGAAACCCAAAATTTGAAAGTGTGTGATATGCCCACTGCAGAGGAGCAAATATAGTAACCTTAAAGCGACAGAGGTCAACTGGGAAGGTAACCGGGAAGTACTGAAGAGGTCAGGTAGAGATGAATTAATTCGGGTTGTAATACACTTGTGCATAGAAGCAATGCTAGGAATCTCTCTGTATAGCTATCCTTATGTCAACTAGCAAAAACGCTTTGTCTTTCTTATTATTGCTTATGTCTACTCTTCAACAAAATTGAGGGAAGGGCAGAACAGGTTCTGCCTGGAAGTGAGGGGGATGAAGGAGGGGGTGAAGGGGCAGGGGGGAGAGGTGGCCCAAACAATGTATGCACATATGAATAAGTGAATAAAGAAAAAAAAAGAAGTTAAAACCCCCAGTACCTCAAAAAAACAAAACCAAAAAACCCTCAAAATATACTTCTAAATAAAATTTTTACTACATGCTGAATATAGACTTTATAGTAAACACTGCTAGCTATTCACCAAAATCTATTTCTTCTTCAATCTGGAAAACATAGCTAAACTATATTCTTAGCCAGTGAAAAGTGATTTGGGCCTGGTCCATAAACCTCCCACATGTACTTCTCTGTTCTTTGTTCTTTCCAGGTGACTATAATGGTGAATCCAATATAACCTCAGGGTCTACATTTTAAAGATAGAAGAGTAAACAGTAGCCTGGGTAACGAATGATTGTTTTATAAGCAAAAAAAAAAAAACTACTATTCTGTTTCCACTATTATATTTTTTGCATCTATTTATTACTGCTAACACTACTATTAATTCAAAATGCTAAAAATCCATCTACCTAAAAGCAGATCTCAACTGTTTAATTTATTACTTACTACTTGCATCTTTATTACAAAAACATAAGACAAAAATAAGTCAACCACAAGTAGCGTGAATTCTGCGTATGTTAACTCTACTAGAAATAAAGATAAAAATAAGCCATATTCTCTTCATAGGTATATAAACAAAAAATGCATATAATAACCATGTAGACCCTAATACTTAAATCAGAAATATGTTTAATGACTAGAAAGTCACAGTCACAAATTTCTAAGATAATTACACACAAAAGTTAGTATCATGACTTAAAATGCAACTACAATCTCTTACCATCTACATCAGGAAAAGTAGTACTCTCTTGCACTGAAGATGAAGAAGCAAACGTGACAGGAGGTTTTTGTAGCTTTTGGGTACTGGGCTCTGGAATGTCACCTCCACGATTATCAGCATTAATAAAAATCTCAGATGAAAATGTGGTCTTTCCTGGACTTTCTGTTGTTATTTGAGTGACAGCATCGGATGATAACTTTCCAGAAGAGGCAGAAAAGGGGGTCTTACTCTGTTCTCGTGAACTGAAAAGAGAGGACATTACAGGTCATATCCTTTGCCAAGAATATTTAAGTAGCTACAGGAATATGTGTGAACACAACAATCTCAAACATTCTGAAGGTATTTCCACAGTACACTTCATTTTCTTAAATACATATTAAAATGTGATTATGCATGTGTTTACTTTTAAAAATTTTAATTATAATTTATAATGTCACTACATAATTTAATTGGAAAAATGGTACTTTTCAGTTGAAATGAATATACATTCACTTACTTTAATTATTAGATGGCCACTATAAAACAGGAGACTGTGTTAAATGCCCAGAGTATACAAAGATAACAGAAGTTCATGAGTTATACATATCAAGATTATAGAGAATTGATATTAAATAAGAGTAGGATAAATAAATGGTTGAATAAAATAAATATGTGAAGATAAAGAAAAAAATTTTGCTTAAAACAATACTAAATAACATATGTAGATACCTCCTACAAAAGGATGTAATGCTCAATTTCCACCTTTCCCATTAAGTACAGACTGGACTTAGTGACTGGATTTCAAAGAATACAGTATAAGCAGGGCAAAACAGTAACTTAACATTGGAGAAACTTGGCAAACACTACTTTAAGTGAAGGAGGTTGACAATACCAGTGATGACTTGTGGATTTCCTATTTCCTACATGATGTGAGAAAGTGGCACTTCACCTGTGATATTCTTTCCCCAAACCGGAAACTCCAAAGGAATCATGAGAAAACTTCAGTCAAACCCAAATCAAGGAACAATCAAGAAAATATGTGATAAGCACTACTCAAAATCACGAAGTTCATGAAAAATAGGGAAGGCATAAAGGGCTATCATATACATATACTATAGGATGCTAAGAGACATGACAACTATCTTGGTCCATGTGCACTACTATAACAAAATAACCTAAGCTGTGTGGCTTATAAACAACAGAAATTTATTGCTGACAGTTTTGGAGCCTGAGAATTCAAAGATTAAAGCCACAGCAGATTTTGTGTCTGGTGAGAGCCTGCTTTCTGGCTCAAAGATGGTGCCTTCTCTCTACATCCTCACATGCAAAAGGGATATATTCAATAGCCCATATATATGAAGGGGTCTCTTTCAAAAGTGCAGAAATCCCATTCATGGGGGACCCACTCTCATGACCTAATTACCTCTTAAGAGTCCCATCTCCAAATACCATCACATTGGGGATTAGGGTTCAACAAAGGAATTTTGAAGAGACATAAATATTTACATTGTAGCATTATCGCCTGGTCCTCCCAAAATTCAGTCTTTCTTGCATGCAAATACATTCATTGTATGCTAACAGTCTTAATTCTTTTCAGCAACAATTCTGAAATCTAAGGTCAGAGCATCATCTAAATTAGGTATGGACAGATTCAAGGTGCAATTAATTCATCCTGAGGCAAAATACCCTCCAGCTGTCAGTGAAATTAAACCTCTATGTCCTTATAAAATATAATGGTAGGACATGCATAAGACACACATTCTCATTCCAAATGTGGAAAATAAAATAAAAAAGGAGTAATGGATCCCAAGCAAGTCACAAACCTTAAAACTCAAGAATTATCTTCTTTGACTCAAGGCTCTGTCCTCCAAGCTCACTGGGGTGGAGGTAATGCCTTATAATAAGACCCACTGGGGTGGTGGCTTTGCCCCCAGTCTTGGGCAGCCCTGCCCTAATGCAGTTCTCTGTGCCTAAGTCACATACCTGCAGCTCTCCTGGGTAGAATTAGACCCAGGCTGCTCTAGAAGTCTGATACCTTGGGGAGTAGCCCTGTCCCCAAGACTCTGTTAAGACAATGCCTGAGGGTGTTCTCCCTGCTCCCACAGCAATTTCCTGCCTAGGCTCCATGGCTGTCTTAGGCATCTATACCCCACAGCTTTGGTGGGTATAGTCATCAGGCCCTAGAGTCACACATGACAAGAATGTGGACAGCAGAACCTGAGTGGGAGCAACCGGCAGTGAATGAAAGGCCTACTAGTGATTGTTTCTCTCCTTTGAAATTATTCTGTCCTCAAGGCCCTTGTATTCTGGGAGTAGCAGCCCCAATGAGTAATTCTTCAATGAATAGCACCTGGCTGATCAATACTAATCTTATCCGATGGCCACTTGACTACACCATTAGTATTCTCTCCCAAACATACTTTTCATTTTTTAAAACAAGGAAAAGCTGAAATTTTTCCAAATATTAAATTTTGGCTTCTTTTCTAATTAAAATTCCATCTTTTTTATGGTATAAAGTTATGAATTCAGGACTTGGTGCTTGCTAGGCAAGCTTTCTAGGGCCTCAGCCCTAAAATTCCACCTTTAAACCATTTCTATCATTTTATGATTAGCAGCTAAGAGAAATCAAGCTGCACCTTCAACACTCTGCTTAGACATTTGTTCAGTAAAATTCATTGCTTACAAGATCTACCTTCCATAAAATATCAGAACACGAACACAATTCAGTCAAGTTCTTTAACACTTTGTAAAAAGGAATGGCTTTCCTCTAGTTTCTAACATATTCCTCATTTTTGAGGCTGCATCAGAATGGCCTTTGCTGCCTATATTTCTATCAATGTTCTATTCAAAACCTCATATATAATCTCTAAAAAGATTGACGATTTCTCTACAGTTTTCCTCCTCTCCTGAGCGCACATCAAAATTGAATGTAAGTTAGTTTACAGCAATGTAGACATTTTCTAGCATGCACCTCAACTCTTCAAGCTTCTGCCATTACCCAGCTTCAAAATCACTTCCACATTTTTAAATATTTGTTACAGCAGTATCCCCATTTCTTGGTACCAACTGTTGTCTTGTCCATTCAGGCTACTAGAAGAAAGTACCACATACTGGGTGAATTATAAACCAAAGAAATTTACTGCTCACAGTTGGCGAGGATGTGGGGAAAAAGGAACTCTCATACACTGCTGGTGGGAATGCAAACTAGTCCAACCACTCTCTAAAAAAAATTTGGAGGCTTCTTAAAAAATCTAAACAGAGATCTGCCATAGGATCCAGCAATCCTACTCCTGGGGATATACCCAAAGGAATTTGACACAAGTTACTCCGGAGGCACTTGCACACCTATGTTTACTGCAGTGCTATTCACAATAGTCAAGTTATAGAAACAGCCAAGATGCCCCACTACTGATGAATGGATTAAGAATATGTGGTATTTATACACAATGGAATTCTACTCAGCAATGAAGAAAAATGAAATCTTATCATTTGCAAGTAAATGGATGGAACCAGAGAACATCATTCTGAGTGAGGTTAGCCAGGCTCAGAAGACCAAAAACCGTATGTTCTCGCTCATATGCGGACTTTAGATCTAGGGTAAATACAGCAATGTGATTGGACTTGGGTCACATGATAAGGGGAGAGCACACACAGGAGGTATGGGGATAGGTAAGAAACCCAAAACATGGTAGTATTTGATGTCCTCACTGCAAAGGAACTAATATAGAAACCTTAAAGCAACAGAGGTCAATATGAGAAGGGGATCAGGAACTAGTGAAAAGGTCAGGTAGAGATGAATCAACTTGGGATGTAACACATTTGTACATGGAAGCAATGCTAGGAATCTCTCTGTATAGCTATCCTTACGTCAACTAGCAAAAACGCTTTGTCTTTCTTATTATTGCTTATACTTTCTCTTCAACAAAATTAGAAATAAGAGCAGAACAGATTCTGCCTGGAAGTGGGGGGAGGGGGGAAGAAGGGGGCGGGGGGAAGGGGGAGAAATGGCCCCAACAATGTATCCCCATATGAATAAATGAATAAAAATAAATAAACCAGGCTACATGGATTTTTGTTATGCTTTTATGCCAAGGGTAATTTCTCAGTCCTGACAAATGCTTCATGGTTAAGATGTTGTGGTATGATGTTAACCTAAGAGGAAACTTCCATAAAGGGTATATGAGCAATCACTAAGATCAGATGTCTCCAATGATCTCTACACCTCCTGGTATTCGTATCTGGACAACTCCTAACCCTAGAGTACAAGCTGCATATAGGGGCTCATTTCTATGAGAAAGTGGCAGAGATGAGAAGATGACAGGTTACAAAAAAAGAGTGTGACTTTTGTCTTAGGCATCCTCACTTGTTCACTCTGAGGGAAGTTTAGATATATTGCTAGCTGCCTTGTAGAGGCAAGGAACTGAAGTCTGTGGCCAAGAGCCATGTGAATGATCTTGAAGTACAGCCTCTGTGGAGCCTTGAAATGAGAACACAGCTGCAGCCAATATCTTGTTTGCAACCTTGTGAGAGAATGTGAGCAAGAGCATCTAACTACTCTATGCCTGGATTTCTCACCTACAGAAACTTTGGGTATAGGGTTGGGTTACTACATTTCAGAAAAATATGTCACACAGCAATACATAACCAATACAGAAACTCATTTACTATTTCTGCAACTCTTCTGAAAGTCCAAAATTAATTCAAAATTTAAGTTTAAAAAGTTATATATATATACTTACATCTTTTGCATATCTTTATAGATACACACATATGTATAGTTTGAATTATTTATGGACTGTAATATGACAAACCTAGGTTCAAATGCCATCTCAAACACTGAATGGTCATGTGATGTGATCATGGGCAAAACCACTTTATCGGCTGGGTGCTAATGGCTCACACCTGTAATCCTAGCTTTTTGGGAGACAGAGATCAGGAGGACTGCAGTTCAAAGGTAGCCCAGGCAAATAGTTCATGAGACCCTATCTCGAATATACCCAACACAAAAAAGGACTGATGAAGTGGCTCAAGTGGTAAAGTACATGTCTGGCAAGCATGAGGCCCTGAATTCAAATCACTACCACTAAAAGAAATACTGCCAAAAAACAATTTCTCTATGCCTCAAGTTTTTGAAATTTAGAAACTGAGGTAATCATATCTATCTCCGATGATTACATTAAATATAAGCATTTATTACAATGCCTAGGATTTAGTACATTCTGAAAAACGGCATTGTAACTAGTTCAATTACAATTATTTATAATTCACCTATTATTTTCTTCTCATTCATAGCTTTGATTTTTAAGGAATTCAGTTTCAACAACTTTGCATTTAAACTTTGAAGGGTTTAAATATTATGCAAAAATTTGTCAGACCTTTAATTTTTAAACATTTCTTTAAAAAAAAATCAGAACTGACCTCTGTACTGCAAGTTACAATACTGAAACCAGAGACTGGTCTAGATGTTTCCTCCAATCCAATTCTCACTTACCTTTTGAGCTACATAGGACCTTTGAGTTTTCCAACCCTTTCCTTCCACCACCTGTTACACGAGTACCAAAGACATTAAATGACTTGTGGCTAGAAGAAGAGTCAGAAGTAAGATTCACGATTCTGAGAGACACCACTATGGAGGGAAGCAAGCTCTTGCTTTGATTAAACAGAATGCATTTGAATGCCTACTCATGCCCTGAGTTCAAACCCCAGTCCCACCAAAAAAATTCATAAATAAAAATTGTTGCTTGAGTGCCCATTCACCTCCTTACAGATAGCATCAGCTGGCATAGTAGTAATGTCAGTGTCTCAGTTTTCCAGTGAGTAAACAGGGATAGCATCACCTACTTCAGTGTTGTCATGCAAACTAAATGAGATGATATATATGTCCTTCACTACCAATGACTACCAAAGGTTGGTGTTGAATAAACATTTTTCCCCTTCTTTCCAAGTCCAGAGATCTTCAGAAGAGTATGCTGCCATAAGGTATAAACATTAAACACAAAGGTAATTTTGTTTAGCTATAAGATATTCATTGAGGTAAAACTGAATTAATAAGAGGAGACTAAAATTAGGCCAAATAAGATAAATCTAAATTTATCTTATTATCCTTTTCTACAACACAATGTGAGTTCAGCATCACATCAGGGGGCACATTATGTTAATATGCATTACTGGTAGTGTTAACTTTGATCACATGGCTAATGTGATTATCTGCCAGGATTCTCCACTATAAAAGTTACCATTTCTTTCCTTATAAATATTAAATATCTAAGGGAAATATGAAATGGAATTAAGGAGGGAGAGGCAGTGAGATACACACACACATACACAGAGCATACATGAACACATGTGTGATGGTTAATCTTGAAGAGAGAAATGCCTACCAGATCAGTAAAACACACTTCTGGGTGTGTCTGCAAGGACATTTCCAAAAACAATTAGATCAAAAGGGCTCTCACCCAATGAGTGGTTTAATTCATTGATCAGATCAGAGACTACTGAGAGGGGGTTGAACTGTGGAAGGTGATACCTACTTGGATGAAGTGCATATCCTTGGAGACTGTATCTTGCCATGGCTCTTTTCTAGTATGGCTCCACCCTGCTTCCTGTCTACCATTAGGTGGAGGACCTCTTCCACCCCATGCTCTTGCAGCCAATGTTCTGCTTAAGCCCATGGGTCTAAGCAACCATGGACTGAACGTCTGAAACTGTGAGCCAAAATAAATATTTCCTCTCTTAAGTTGTTTATGTCAAGTCTTGCTCACAATGATGAAAAAGCAAATACAACATGAAACTTCCCAAAGATCTTCAGAGTATCTCCAACATAAAAATAAATTGGTGAATTGTATCATTAAATGATCAAAAATTCTTAATTCCTTACATTTGATGACAAGTCTAGCCAAAAGCTCTTCAAAGTACATATTACCTTCATGTATTCTCTTATTTATATATTCCTTAAAAAACTTCTACCAGATTAGTCAGATACAACCTCCTCCCTTAAGAGAAATCATACTGCTTTTCCCCCAAGCACTTACATTTGCTTAAGTATTTTAAAACCTTTGTCACAAATTCCATCAGCTTGCTTGTTATCACAATGAGACTCACCCATCTGCAGATACCGGAGTCTCCTCTGGTTTGGAATATTCTTCCAAATCTGAAAAGTTCACTTGTGTTTGCCTTGAGGTTACTATCTGGCTATTCTGAGAAGGTATGGTTTTCAAGTTCTGAGTAATAGTCTTACTATCTGGAGGAGACTGTACGACTTGCAAGTCCAATGGAGATTTAGGTCCTAGAAAACCTAAAGATTCTTGATCCTGTGCTATAGGCTTACTGGTCAATAATATGGAGGCTGATTCCAATGATCTCGTAGATTTAATTTGTAGGTGAGAGTTAAACTCATTTGTTCTAGAAGCAGGATCCAATGAATGAAATCTTTTATCTAAGATTCCACTATCCAACTTGGAAGAAGTCTTGGGACAAAGAGTTATACGGATACATGAAAGTGCCTTTCTATTTGAAGGTGGAGTAGATGCAGATGGTGCTAATTTACAGTGATCAGGGACCGACTGGGAGATCACATCATTGAAGGTGGCTTCAACATTTATCATATTACAAATGTGTGAATCAGGTGCATGTTGATTCTTTTCTACTACAGAATCCTGACTTTGAGAAAAAAGGAAATGGTGGGCATCTACTGCTGGGGGTTTGCTCTGACGTTGTTCAAGAAAAATGGGAGAAGAAAGGTCTGGAGCTATATTATCCTGACACTGAGGAAAGGGAGAATGATTCTCTCTCATCTCATGACCTAAATGTGGGACTTTGCTTTGTTCAAAGAGTTCTTGTTGTTCAAGAAAAATACAAGAAGGAAGGTTTGGACAAGGGGGAGAATGGTGTTTTCTCACATAATGATCTGTATATTGGGCTTGGCTTTGCTCAAAGAGCTGTCGTTGTTCAAGAAAAATGTGCGAAGGAAGATCTGAAGTTATAATTACATTCTTCTCTCTTACTCCTAGAGTGGAACATGGTCTGCCCATGCTAATGGGGGTATGGTTATCAGAAAAGTGAACTTCCTTGAAATTGTTATAATTTGTACTGGTACTGGGCTCAGAATGAGTGACTTCAAAATCTGATTTCTCTAAGAGTTTTTCTTCTTGATGAGAATGCTCAAAATCAACAGATAATTTTTGGCTTTGCCTACTACCTTCTGCTAAAATAGTCACTTCTTTATTTGGCAAATGACAAAGTTTTTTAAATGATAAAGGGGAAGATGTTCTCTGTTTAAGATATCTAGGAGAATTCTGCTCTTCAGTGACATGAGAATTAAATACCCCCACAGGTGCTCCAGTATACTGGCTACCTTCAGTAACACCAACCTTAAAAACAGAGGAATCAGAAATGCATTTAGAATGTCGGTGAGATGAGAAAGTGATGGAGGTAGTAAACTGTTTCATGGGTTCTGGGGGCAGTATTTGTGATGAAGAATGAAAATCCACTTCTTTAGGTGACACACAAGCAGGTTCTACTAATTCTGACAACCAAGGGTCTATGTTTTCATGGAATGGCATTCCCAAACCCTTGCTAACTTTGAAGTCATCAGGCATAAGGCTTTGAAATGGGGGATGACTTTGCAACTGCAAAGAATTCCAAACTCTGAAATGGGAATTGTTCTGGTCTAATGATTTAGAAAAGTTGATGTGCCTAGTTCTCCATGGTGTTGGGCTCCGTCGTCCTCTGATCACATCTGAGGGTTCAGCAGATCTGAAAACACAAGGGTGACTGTCCACTTGTGGTTGTTGAGCAGTTAGAGTCCTGAAACATCCTTTTTCATGGCTCTCAATAATAATGTGACTACATACAGCATCAGGTGTGCCTCCTATTCCCCGTGGACTCTGTAAACCCTAGAAGATACAAATGGGTCCAAACAGTTACATATTATACTAATCAGTTTTATATCCCAATTAATATTTGACTATGAAGAGGTCAAATATTTGACCATTTATAAGTCTAAGAACACAGCAAGAAAATGACTGCTAACTACAGAATAAAATCGCTTAGGATAACCAAGACCACTCAGTAGAGTTCTAAAAATTTTCCACTAGAGTATTAGAGCAAAGTCTATTACTATACCCTAGTATGTATCTCACCTTCCTCCTTTTAGTAATAGAGGTAAACTCACCCAAACTTTTGTGGGCCACATAGCCACCAAACTGGAGACATTTTCTGTTTCCAGTTGTGATCATATGACTATGCTTAGTCCAATGGAATATGAGCAAAATTGTTAAGTGCAACTTCAGTTTCTTGTTCTTGAAATCCAGTTCTTGATCTCCATGTTCCCCCACTGCCACCAACACTACCATCATGTTCATTCTTTTTCAATTTTTTAAAGTTTTACAGAATAATGGGTTTCATTATGACCCATCACAATTACTCTTGCCACCTAAAAATGGTGATGCCTGAAACAACCATGGAAGTCATGCATAAAGACAGCTCAGGTGCCCACCCCACTTGGGTCTTTGGATAACTTCAAGGAACAGAGTTCTTTTCCATCCTGGATTATGGCATAAAAGAAAAATGAAATTCTATGCTACTTGAGACACTCAAACCTCATCTGGCTTATTTTTTGCTCTCTATTATGGAGGCTTGACCTACACCTACTGTTTTACTCCCTAAAATAGGGAAAAGAACTAGTGCCTTTCCCTAAGGCACAAAATCACTACTACTGTAAACAAAATTTCATTGAGGTTTCTGTGTTTTACCTATAAAGGTATTATAACTTGGCATTCTATTTCATGATATATATATATATTTCATTTCAAATAAAAATACTTTAGATTCTGACACCTTTTATCAGATGATGGAGATACATTTTTTCCTAATCTTCCTAATGTAGAACTAAACTCCCTGGACATTACACAAAACAGATGTAAGAAGAATCTGAAAGCTCTAGAGAAGGCAGACTGGCTAATGATCTTGGGAACTTGGGGATTGATATGATGGTGAGATCCTTGGGTTTTCTTTTTGTCTCATGTATCTAGAATTATAGCTGAAGTGGCCAACAACCCAGGAGCAACAAGCACAGACAACAGTCCTAACAAAAATCTGCTCACTAGCTAAAAAACCAGTAAAGATACAGTATAACAAGACAGAAAAATTTTAGACAATAACTGTTCTGTTCCAACAAGCCACCACAGTAAAACATATAGTCTTATCTACACCACACAAAGTGAGAAGGCAGAGAATCCTAGACTTTCACTCTTGCAAAGCTTTAATAAGGTATCCCATCACCTGGACCACCATGCTGCAAGAGAAGACCACAAAGGGGCCCAGGACTTGCTCTCATCACTGCTAGATGGTAAAGAGCTACTCCTCCCCCTGTGATGTCGGGGACAACCACATGCAGAGCCTGAACTTTCCCTTCTGAACTTAGAAATAACAAGCTATTCCTTTCCCTCCCAGACACAGGCTGGAAGAAAATACTTAGAAACTTCATATTCAATAAAGGACTTGTATCTAACATGGATAAAGAACTCAAACTCAACAGTGGGACTATGGGTGTAGTTCAGTGGTAGACTGTTTTTCTAACATATCCAAGGCTATAGGTTTGAACCCCAGCACTGCAAAAGACAAACACCCAACAGAGGAAGGAGCAATTCAATTAAAAAATGGGCAAAACACAGATATTTCATTAAATAGGATACAACAATCAGAAACAAGGATATGAAAAGTTGTTCAACATGAAAAACCATTAAGAAAATGTAAATTAAAACCAAAATGAGGTATTACTACAAACCTATCAAAATGGCTAAAATAAAGTGATGACATAAATGCTGGTGAGGATGTAGAGTAGGTAGCTTGCTCATACATTGCTGGTAGAAATATAAAACGATACAACCACCCTGGAAATGATGTGACCATTTATCAAGAAAATAATCATGCAACTAACATACAACCTATAAATTAGGCTCCTGGGCACTTATACCACAGAACCAAACACATGTTCACACAAAAATTTGCACGTGAATGTTTATGGAAGCTTTATTTATAAAGCCAAAATAGAAAACAGGTGATCCTCAACAGGTAAATATTTAAATAAATTTTGGTATACACATGCCATGGAAAGTATTCTACAGAAATAAAAAGAAGTTTCTGATAAACACAACTTGGATGAGTCTCCAAAGAATTATTCTGAGTAATTCAGAAAGTTACTCTGGATGAAAAATACTAATATGAAAATGTTGCATATTATAATCTTAAAACTACAAAATAACAGAAATGGGGAAAAGATTAGTAGCTGGCAGGTTGCTAAAGGGGTAGGAAGGGATGTAAATGGGTGTGACTACAGGACAAAATGAGGCAGCCTTGTGCCTCAGTATCTTGACTGTATTAGTGTCAGTATCATGGCCATAATATATTACTGCAGTTCTGCAAGATGCTGTCATTGTGGGAAATTGGGTGAAGAATAAGTGATCTCTCTATATTACCTCTTACAACTACCTGTAAATCTATAATTAAAAACAAAATGTTGGCTTTGAAAACAAAACAAAAATTAGCTAAGTATTACTAGATCAGACACTTTAGAAATATCATTTTTAATGTGTAGCTATTACCCTGATATCTCTTGACATATATCTGGGAAAGAAATAGCTCAACTTGAGAAACACAAATTTACTCTGGCCTCAAAACTGGGCATGATTAGATTTATCATAATTGAAAAATATATTTCTCTTCCTCCTTCCCAACAATTCATAGGTTACAAATACCCTGTGGCCTACCTCCTTCCCATGCTATCTCTTAAGTTTTCATAATAAACATGTTTCATCACAACCTTTCCACTTTAAAAATATTTAAAGCTTTGGAAATAATCAAATAAATGCTACTATTTTCATATTACTGTTTCTAGATATTTATAACAAACTACTAGATACATAACATACTACTAGATACGTAACAGGCTCTTTTAAAACTGTTAATGGCCAAGATATGAAGTCAAACTAACTATCCATCAAGAGATGAATAGATAAAGAAAATGTGGCTAATATACAAAATGGAATATTATTCAGTCATAAAAAAGGGAATCCTGTCATCTACAACAACATGATGAACATAGAGAACATTATGTTAAGTAAAATAAGCCAAGCACAGACAGACAAACGGCACATGATCTCACTGCTTTGGTCTGATATGGTTTAAGCATGATAGGCAGAGCATAAAGAGATGTTGGTTAAAGGATATATAATTACAATTAGACAGACAGAACAACAAAAGATCAGGATAGGCAAACAGAGACAGAAAATAAAGAAATTATTACCTAGAGCTAGGAAATAGAAGAGAAAGGAATGGCGAAGGACTCCTATAACTTATGGACTTCCTTTTTTGAGTGACAATTATGCTCTCAAGTTGCTGGGATATAGCTAAGTGGTGGAGAATGCTTGCCTTGTATGCACAGGGCTGTGGATTTGATCCCCAGTACCACAAGAAAAAAAATCTAATTGGGCCAGATGTGACAGCACATGCCTATAATCTCAGCATTCAGATAGCTGAGGCAGAAGGATGATAAGGTTCAAGATCAGCCTGGGTTACACGTCTTTAAAGACAAAAGTTCTAAAACGGATGATGGTACAGGTTGCACAATTCTGTGAGCATTCTAAAAACAACTGAATTTCAAGAGTGGTGGCTCATGCCTGTATCTTGGCTACTCAGGAGGTAGAAATGAAGAGGATCATACTTTAAGGCCAGCCCACAAAAAAAGTTAGTGAGACGCTTTCTCAACAAATTCTCTAGGCATGGTAGTACATGTCTGTGGTCCCAGGTATGTAAGAGGTTGTAGGAGGATTGTAGTCTAGGCTGGCTGCAAGCAAAACCACAAGACCCTACTAGAAAAAGTCACTAAAACAAAAAGGACTATAGGTATGGCTCAAGTGGCAGAGCCCTTGCCTAGCAAACACAAGGCCAAGTTCAAATTCTGTACCATCAAAAAATATATATATTGGATTGTACAACTTAAAAGAATGAAGTACAGTTTAAAAGAATTGTAATAATGCTTCATTATTGTGAATAATATTTCCACGAAGCTCTTTTAAAAAATTTAAGGGCCAGAAGCATGGCTCAAGCAGTAAAGAGCCTGCCTTGTAAGCACAAAGTCCTGAGTTCAAACTCAGTATCACTTAAAAAAAAAAATTTAAGAGCCAGGTGTGGTGTTCATACCTCAAAGATCAGGAGGACCACAGTTTAAGGACAGCCTGGGCAAAATGTTAGTGACACCCTATCTCAACCAATAAAGCTGGCTGTGGTAGCCCATGCCTATCATCCCAGTTATACAGCAAGCATAAACAGGTGGATCACAGTGGTCTAGGCCAGACCAGGCAAAAATAAGAAATTGTATCTAGAAAGTAACTAAAGCAAAAAGGGCTGAGTACATGACTCAAGTGGTAAAACACCTGTCTAGAAAGCATGAGGCTCTGAGTTCAAAACCCCATACCACAAAAAAAGACATTGTTTAGCTTAACAAAATCCAAAACCCATTCATGATAAAATCTGTCCTCAAACTAGGAATGGGACTTAACTAGAGAAAATCATCTACAAAAGACCCATAGCTAGCATAATATAAAATTGTAAAAACTAGATGTTATCACCTAGGATCAAGAACAAGACAAGGTGAAGTTCAAGTGAAGTATCTAGTTTCTTCATGGCTTTCATCATAAAGGGATACTGAATTCTGTCAAAGGCTTTTTCTGCATCAATTGAAATGATCACATGATTTTTGCCCGTGATTCTATTTATGTGCTTTATTATGTTTACTGATTTGGATATGTTGAAACATTCTTGAATTCCTGGAATGATATGTAAATGAGTCAAGTCACTATGGAAATAAATATAAAGGATCCTCAAAAAATTTTTT